TCGCCGCTGTGCAGCCCCACGCGGAACAGCCCCGGCTCCGTCGCCTTGGCCAGCTCGTACGACAGCCACGCGTTCTGACCCGCGTCCGCGTCCACCGCCACCACCTTGGCCACCAGCGACCCGGGCTCCGCCGAGCGCGGCGCCAGCTCCACGCCCGATGCAAACGGCTGTTTGGAAGAGATGTGCCACCCTGCTCAGGCCTGGCAACTGGCTGCACTGGATGCCGAGGGCGCTGGCTGGCAGCCTTCCCGGTAAGGAAACGATCTTCTCATCTGCCCACAGTCAAGACCAGCAGGGAGGGCTCGAAGTCCAGCGGCCGGAGGACGTAGACGTCGCCGTTTTCAGAGCTGACCGACACGTCGGGCTGCTCCTTGCCCTCCTGCCGCACCAGCGCGTAGTTTACGCGCGCGTTTTTGCCCGCGTCGGCGTCCGTGGCGTTCACGCTGCCGATGCGCAGCATGGGGCTGTTGTTCTCCGTGACCCACAGCGTGTAAACCTCCTGGGTGAACTCGGGGGCGTTGTCGTTCACGTCCGAGATCTGCACCAAGAGGCTTTCCCGAGAGCTCAGCCGCGTCGCGCCCCAGTCCAGGGCCGTGATGCTGATGTTGTACTCCGCCGTCCTCTCCCTGTCCAGCGCCGCGCTTGTCCTCAGCTCGTAGTAATTGTCAAAAGCGGGGCTGAGACTGAAGGGCAAGTCCCCGTCGATCACGCACTCCGTCCTGCCGTTGTCCCCGGAGTCCCGGTCCCGCACACTGAACAGGGCCACCACGGTGCGCGGCGGCGCGTCCTCGGGAATGGAGGCGCTGAGGGAGGTGAGCGCTATCTCGGGGGCGTTGTCGTTCACGTCCAGGACCTCCACCTGCACTTTGCAATGCGCAGACAGCCCCCCGCCGTCCGTGGCTTTCACCACCATCTTGTGGCTTTTCGCTTCCTCGAAGTCCAGATTGCCCGCGACCCGTATCTCCCCGGTGGCGGGGTTCAGCTCGAAGAGCTGCCGGGACCGCTCCGATGTCTGGGTGAAGGCGTACCGCACTTGCCCGTAGGACCCTTCGTCGGGATCCGCGGCCGCCACTCTCACCACCAGCTGCTCCGGGGGGCTGTTCTCGGCCAGGCGCACCTCGTACACCTCCCGACTGAAGATCGGGATGTTGTCATTGGCATCCAGCACCACGATCCGGATCTGAGCCGTGCCCGACCTGGGTGGCGAGCCCCCGTCGGTGGCGGTGAGGAGTAAATTCAGCTCCGGCTGCTCTTCACGGTCCAGCTGCCGCTCTAGCACGAGCTCCGCGTATTTTACTCCATCTTTCCCTGTTCCGAAAGCGAGGGAGAAATATGAATTGGATCCGAGGCTGTAGTTCTGCAAGCCGTTGCTGGCCA